AACTTATGCATGTTTGTTAACAATTATTTGGTATAGTTTTGTTCGACAAATTACATATTGTACATATGAAAATGTTTGTTTGATATTGCGTATTACGATGTCATTGGGTAATTATGATGCTTCAGTAATGGGTGCTTGACATTACTTCACAATGCAGGGTGATATATTGTCATTTTGGATTTTTTTTTATATAGCACGTGCATGTTTGAAGCAGGAATGGCATCTTGTTTCTTGCTATTGCCGTTTAAGTTAACATGTGTTCCAGTCTTTTAACATCAGTGTGAATTTACTCTAGATTTAATAATAAAAGAGGAAACGGGCTCACAACTGTTTTCGGAAAATGAAGGAATTTATTGAAGAAACGCAGAACCATGCTTTTAGATTTGTTATATCCACTTTCCGTTTGCAGGGTCTTGTCCTCGAGGTTAACCTGCTGAGGGAGTTGCGTCATCCGTACATCGTCAAGTTCCTGCACCACGTGGTCGACAAGCGGTCCACCACATTGTACATCCTGATGGAGCACTGCCCGGGGGGAGACCTCAAGCGCCTCATCTCCAAGTGCCGCCAGACCTCGACCTTCCTGGAGGAGGGTTTCATCTGGAGGATTCTGAAACAGGTGGGGCTACGTTGTGTTTCGACCAGGTCTTGCGAGTGAACTGATTGTTGATGGGCGTGCTGCTTCGTGTTTGATTTGGAGTAGGTCATTGATTTTGGAAATAGTTGGAACATCTACGGATATTTCACAAGGACTTATGTTATGCTATCATTATCACTGTTACTTTTGATTTCAGTCTTTCTCTGTTTAAGTAACTGCCTGCTATTATGGATCTGTGGTGTCACCCGCTGTGACTGCGAAATCTATCTCTATATTAATAGAATTGATCAGACCCACTATACACAGCAGGTAACCGCCCACGTCCTCTCCGCAGGTGTGTGAGGCGCTCAAGGTCTGCCACACCAGACAGCTTCAGAAGGGCCGGGTGATCCTCCACAGAGACATCAAGCCGGCCAACGTCTTCCTCGATGCCAACGGCGACGTCAAGCTCGGCGATTTCGGCCTGGCCAGAACGCTCAACTCGGAGGCCAGTTTCGCGACCACTTTTGTCGGGACGCCGTACTACATGAGCCCGGTGAGGAAGAGCGTGTCTGTATGAGGAAGTAGGAGTAGCTGATGGCATTGGCGTGTTTTGGTATTTCTTGGGAAGAATATGGTTTACGAATAGACAAGATACAAGATACAATTGTAGCATCCGTTTACCAGCTATGAATTATTACGCAGGGATTTATGTTTCTGTTATAAAACGTATTAGCAATAATGCGGATACCAGAATCAAAACAAGCAAGGTCTCGTTAGGGCCAAAGACTTAAGTCACGGCTTCTGCACGGCTCAGGCGTGGCGGAGGAGGGATGAAGGGGGTGAGATAAGAAATTGTCTGTGGGAACAATCACTACAGAAGACTGCTGTATAGTAAGGAGTGACCGGCAGTTCTTCTCATTTGTCGACGAGTAGAGAAAATGCTCTACTGCATTTTGGTTGTCCATGGGTAACTATGAATTGTAAGTGCTACTTCACTATACCGTTCAGGCCTTGCAGGTGCCTTGGAATTCATGTTAATTGCTATTAGAAGGAGGACATGGCTCTTAGAGATCATTCGCTCCAAATGCAGTACATGAAGGAATATTGTAACTTAGCAAGTCAGACCAGTTATCAACAAGCTTCCGCATCGTTTAGTTCATTCTTATTTTTTTACAAATTGTGCCATCCGGTTGTAGAATCTAATTTTCATTCAACCACCGAACAGCGCGTCATCACATACGGGATGGCGAATCCAAGGTCAATATATAACAGTTGACATTAAACGGACCAAGCGAGACTGACCTGATCCCCGGTGTTCCCCTTACTAGAAACTGGGCACTGGGGACTGATGTGTTCCCGACCGCGGGTGTCTAGGGCCGGGCCTTGAGAGAGAGCTGCGCTGACTGGATGAGTGAATACGATTTCGACTTTGAAACATCCAGTGACCACTTTATATGCGATACTTTGCTGCATAGGCTAAACATGCGCGATATTTTTTCATGCATATGCGTTCCATGTTACGGGATTTAATTCGAATATACTTCACATCGCGAACTTTAGTGCCACTGTTTAGTGAAAAAGAATATATCGACCCTGCCCCCTGCCTCGAAAGATAGGTCACACTGTACTGAAACTATAGTCACCGTCGGGGGCATTGTGGTTTGGCTAATAATTTTAGCTGTATAAAAATACGATTAGTTCAGCCTTTACTTTTTTGTTAAGAACTGAACAGAGCCGGTTGATCTTAGTAGGAGATGCTATTTAAAACATATAAATGTTGGGGAGTCGACGACCCTTCAGCTTCACTGAAACAACAAATGCTATTTACTGAGTACAGTGTTTACTTAATTGCTAATTACAAAAACACTTTCCTACGTTATTTTTTAACGAGGTGGAGATGTACTCGAGAGGTAGGTGATGACAGACTAAATGCAACAAGACCGAAGGTCATTGTTGTCAGTTATCAAATAATCATCATCCCCACTGTCACCTTGTCATCAGTCATCCCCGGTCTGTCAAGTCTATCATCTCCTTATTGTAACTTTCTTTCCTGACAAGTTTTCTGTAGTAGTAAAGTTGGTTTGAGTCTTTGTTGTAGATATCCTTATATCCAAATATACGCTCTTCTAAAGCAAATTAAATTGTAGTAGTATTAATGCACGTTCGTAATTCTTTCGAACAGGAGGTTATAAATGGGCAAGAATACAATGAGATGTCTGACATGTGGTCACTGGGCTGTCTGATCTACGAGCTATGTGCGCTGCATCCTCCTTTCCAAGCAACGACGCACAAGCAAC